ATGCACGCCCACCCGCAGATGGCCTTCACTGTGGTCAGCCCGCCCGCCCGCCCGCCCGCCAGCTAGCTAGCAGCCTTGATAGGCAGTGCTTGATTGCGAGTTTTATGTTTATAAAGGGCGGGTAGCATCCCAGTCCTTTCCCCTCAAAGCTTTTATCGCCTTGGGCGTTCATGGGTATCCTCCTTAGGGTTCTTTCCCGCTCCGTGACTTCGTTGCCGCGCCGTAACTCGTCTTCCCTCCTATGACACACGATGTACTCTCAATAACCTCGTCCCACCTCCCATAACGATTGTCTACAATCGGACAGAAATACCTCCCGATTGGCTTACGGCTTACGTCTTGATGAGATCCAACTGCTGATGATCCTCCTACGTCACCATAACCAGCCTGCTGATGCTACCGGGACGGACAACCCTCTTCCCCTCCTGAGTGACAGAGCACGCAGAAGAATATTACCTTTAAAAAATCACAACAACAACAATAAGGCCCCGAGCCTGGCTTGCCTGGGAATCGGCCGGCCCGCTAAGGGGCATCCTCGCTCCCCTTATGATGCCCCCGAGCACCTTGTGCACTACCGCACGCACCAACCTGTATTTTGCCTGAGTAAAACAACTGCTCCACCTTGCCATCGTTCCGCTGCAGCAGGCCCTTTGCGACGGCCTGTTGTGTGGCGAGTTGAGGCGTGGGGCACGTGTCCACGTGTACACATGCACGCAGGGAGCAAGATAGGTAACTATGCTCGTATGTGTATGATTAAATTAATCCACTTCGATTTAATATGGAGGGTAAGATGCATCCAGGCGAAATCGTGTTTCTAAAGATACGGAAAACCTGCCTACGGCAGGCACGAACGGTAGTTGCTAACGAAAGGCGGTTACACCTTCCGTACAGCGTTGCGTCGTAGGCACGCAGGCGCACCTATAATTGGTGGGACAGCAAGGTGACGGCATCACAGCGCTGCTTACCCGATACCTGTCCGAGTAAGACAGGACATCAATGGCGAAATCCTGGCAGCAGCAGGCGCCGGGCGAGGGTAATGGGAAGCCGTCAGGACGGGTGCGGGAAATGCAGTTTAGTCAGTAAAGCTGTACGGCAACAGCAGATGTGTACGGATGTTGCGTGCGGTTGTGCTTGCGATGGAATGGAATATCAAACAATACAATTCGCCCAGCCAGCCCTCATGCGCAACAGCAGCGACAACAGGTTTAGTAGTCGAGGGCGAGACCCATCAAGCCATCTATGATGCATGAGGAAACACACGCACAACATCTCATCAGCAATCCAAATTGCCACATATATACAACCCGTGATTTTCCCTGGATTCCCCGGATTCCCTGGATTCCCTGGAGGGCGGGTATGAGGTCTTAAATTGGTTGCATGCAATGATGCTCTGGCTTGTACTATATATGCAACGACAAAGCAGTGCTACGCTAGCATGACGGTACGGGGACAAACGCACCTCTGCATCCGCCGGGGCGTACGTTGAGTTGTTCTTCCCTTCATACACTTGGTCCAGGGCCCTCAGTGACACCAGTGCCTGCGTGTGCACGCGAGGTGCATCGTGTACTTGTAGCAAGGAAGGCCGGGTGGATGATGAAAAGGAGTTCTCGCCTTGGTATATGTAAAAGGGCTTTCATGGCCAATACAAAGCAATGCTGGGTGCTGTAGTGTATGCGGGCGGCACCGGTGATCCGGTCGGTCCACTGTATTGCCGCGCACTAGGTCACCAACAAGCACGTGGCATAGAACCCGAAGACGTGTGGTTGATTACATTTAGTTTGCTGTAGCGCCAGTTTGCTTTCTAGCTGATGAATGGCATCCGTGGCAGGCACAGCGGAAGGCGGACAGCTGGCGGATCTAGCATGCATGCACGCGCCATTCTTATCTGCACGCCCTCGCCATCCCATCCATGCAGCTGCTAGCTACTACAGTGGGCTTGCACGCACGCACCCGCTGGAGGAACCGCTGCCCTCCGCCGGCATCTGCAAGCTCGTCCAAAACATGTGACTGTTTCTGTGGGTGATCAGTACGCGTGCAGATAGACAACGTCAAGGACGGGGAACGATGAATCAAAGACATGTGCTGTAATGCCATGCATGGTTGCATGTACGGCTGTACATACATACATACATGCTATCCATGCACGTGGGTTAACATGTCAGTATTATACAGCGATACGCAGCGACCTACCTCGCATGGGTTCACAAGCGTGACACCAACCATTCGGCCCTAGTGAAATGGACCCTAGCCATTTTGCTGAATGCTGATGTTGAATGCTGATGCCGACATAGATGGGTGTGAGGGCACATGTAAGATGCACGTGACATTTAACAATCGAGCTAATAGATTTGCTGATGCGTGTAGGCAGGCAATTAGGAGGATAATTGGTCTACCTACTTCTCTTAGGGTTTAGCCAACAGTCAACAGTAGTGGATGGCCGGAGTAGATTGCAATTGACGGGGTTCGGGTGGTTCTCGGTGGTTGCGGAAGGAGATGCGCGTGAACTAAGCAATAATGGCTAGCTTACCTGGATGCTGCTGATGATGAGAGAAAAGCTTAGCACATGCATTGACACGGCCGCCAGAACTGCCAATATGGTGTGTATCTTCAGCCGAACGATCGCCTGCATGCAGCGGCAGCGGCAGCAATCGCAATCGCAATCGCAATCGCAATCGCAGTACTCATTTACTTGCAATGGGCGACTGGGGAATGGGCGCGGGAACAGCAACGAGTCCAGCCAGCAAGGTGTTAAATGCCATTGAGGCAATTAGGCGAAATGGAAGTACGTAGATCGGTCAGCAGCAGTCTGCGTCTACAATAATGGGACACATGCAGGAACTCAACTAGCCGGCAGAGAGGTAGCTCGAGAGATAGATAGGCATAGCCAGGGCGAGATAATCTTTATCCGAAGGTTTACTGCCACCGTGCTGCTCGCTGCTAGCTGAGTGCGACAGTGCGGATGTAGTAGCTGGTACACAGTACGGCACACATAACCTCTACAAGTACGACCTAAGCGCGACCGCCAGCATCTTGAGAGGCCTTTTCAGCGGCCAGCGACTACAGCTGACCAGTAGTCAACTCATTTTAATGGTCCTGCTTGGGGCGGCCCTTATGTATACATTGAATTACGTACACACACACACACACACACACACACACAGCACACGCACACACACACACACACACACACACACGCACACACACACACACACGCACACACACACACACACACACGCACACGCACACGCACACACACACGCACACATACACACGCACACGCACACATACACACGCACACGCACACATACACACGCACACGCACACGCACACACGCGCGCGCGCGCGCAAAAAAACGCACACAAACACACACAGCAGAAACGGTACTGGGCATACCCCATATATACTGGGCATACCCCATATATACTGGGCATACCCCATATATACTGGGCATACCCCATATATATACCTTGGAATAAATATATGTTCTAGCTGATCACCATCACTAACATACACGCGCTCACATACCTGTGTGGCTTGAGACGAGTTCATTAGCTTTATCAGCTTTCGATAGCGTTTGCCACGCTTGTAGTCTGCCGTACCCTCGGCCCCTGTGTGTCACGTGGTATGTTCGACGGGGGATGTGCCACATTTTAAGGCAAACAAAAGAGTTAGGCACAAAGATAAAGACAAGGCACGTAAATAGGAAAAAAAATAGGAACATGAGCATAGGAACTGATGGAAATCATATATATTGTATGGATGGAGAGAAAAGTGGCCGACATCGCTTTCCTCGACTTGCAAATACCAAGCATCCCACCTGAATCGTCGGATGCGCCGGTGATGCCGGAGACATCGCTGTCTCCATCACTGTCGTGATCATCTCCTTGGTCCAAACTCATGGCGTCTAAGGCCTTGGCGGCCGCATCCGCCAGCGTGCTGCTGCTGTGAAGAAAGCTATTGCGCCGAACCCTGTGGGCCCTGTACTGTCCAGGAGATGCCTCACCGCCGCCAACGCCATGTGCTGCTGCTACTGCACCACCTCCAGGAGCTGTCAAGGGATTGCTGCCAAAGCCGATTCCGTCGCGTGGATGCGCATGCAGGTTAGGGCGCTGCTGGTTCTGATGCTGGTGTTGCATGCGCTGGTTCTGGTGCTGTTGCTGCTGTTGCTGCTGATACTGTTGCTGCTGATACTGGTGTTGCTGGTACAGGTGCTGCTGGTACTGGTACTGGTGCTGGTGGTACTGTTGCTGTTGCTGCTGTTGCTGTTGCTGGTATGGGTGGTACTGGTGGAGGTGCACATTCTGCTGCTGATGATGGTACGGATGCAGCCCTTGGTGTAATTGATGGTATTGGTGCTGCTGGTACGGGTGCTGCTGGTACGGGTGCTGCTGGTACGGGTGCTGCTGGTACTGGTGCTGCTGGTACATGTGCTGATGTTGATGTTGATGGTGTTGGAGGTGATGTAGGAGCTGCTGCCCGTGCTGGCCGGGGTGCGGCTGCAGGTAATCAGACTCCCCGGGGCCCCCGAAAAAGGAACCCCTAGGGGAGGCGTAGTGGGAAGACGTGGCTCTACTGATGCCGCCGAAGGAACCGGCGCCGTCGTCGTCCTCCTCCTCCAGTTCGAGACCATCCATGCGACCCATGCCCTCAATGCTCTCGACTCTGTTCCGGTAGAACTTGCCGTTAGTGGCGACCCACTTTTTGATGCTTCCGAGGCCGGTTTGGTCGGCGCCCTTCATGCAGGTGCAGAACGAGTGCAGTGGGATCGGTAAGAAGATAGCTTGGCATGTCAGCCTGTAGTGCATGGATGCATTGATGCATGGCTGAATGTGGGTCATATGAATGGATGGACGGGGGATGGACTGTCAAGCGTCCTGTACCACAGGAGCCACATCATACAATTGTCACCCCGTACAAGCACACATACATACCTCGTCGCTGCCAGCTTCGGCGGCTGCCAAGCTCATGGTCTCAAGCTTCCAATCTGTTGAACAGCGCGTAAAATCCGTTGTCTTGTCATCGCCACCATCGTCGCCTCCTTTCGCAGGCTTGGACTCTGCAGCAATTGGCGGTACATGTGCGTGCAGCATGGTTACATGGTAAGCGAGACAGACTACTGGAACAACGATACCATTTACAGATGCAGGGCAACAAACAGTAAGCATCAAAAGGCCACAACTTACGTTGATAAAAGCTACTTCACGCGGTGTGCCACTGGCTTCTTGGCATCATATGCCTTGCTGCATGTACACTACACACCTTGCAGCATGACGTGGTTCTGTTAACTATCCAGACCTCATGGAACACCCCCCGAAGTGAAATTCATGATAAGTACTTGAACGGACGGTGACAGGTGCAAGGTGTCCACGCAGAAAGCGATAGAGCCCAGCCCCAGCCTCATACGTGAGTGACGGCTGCTAGCTGGGTAAGGTAATAGCAGTTGCGGTAGCACCAGACAGAACACAACACATCTACATCACTAGCCTCAAGCAATTAGGTCTTCTTGGGAACCGCACCGACCAGTTTCTTTCATCCGTACTCCGCCTTCGCCTCCCTCGGCGTTTTCCAGCCCTGCCGCCGCGGCCGCGGATGATGACACCCGCTGTCGCAAGTCCTCTTCACTGCTGCTACCTGCCCGTCCAGCAGGAAGGCCGCTAACTGGATCTACAGCTGCGGCTGCAGCACCCATTGCGGCGGACACCTCCGCTGCCGCGAGGGATCTCCGAGATGCAGCTGCAGGAGGCCTCTTGGTGTACACCTTGCTCGGCCCCGCCACTGGCGGCGACCCGGGTCTCTCCGGTGAAGAACGACCCGCAGGGGAACGGTCCACCTCACCGGCTGGTGCGGTGCGGGATGTGGCGATGGTGGCGGCGGGACCAGCATCGGCATCGCTTCCAGCCACGTCGATGTTTCCACTCGACAAGCCGCGGGCTTTCATAATCTCTGCCACGCCCGCGGCCAAAGCGCCGGAGCCAGGAAGTGTAGCCGGAGCCGTAGTTGTCACTGGGGCGGCGCCGGTGACCACGCTGGCGGTATCCCCGACGACGCCGGGGCCCGCGACGCGAGGCATGGTGACAGGCGTGAGGCTGAACGGTGGAAGAGGCGGGATCGCCAACGTGGCCTGCGGCGGTGGCTGCACCGAGACCGTGTCCGTATCAAGGATCCCAACCATCATGTCTCCGGCCTGGCCGCCGCTGCCGACCTGAGGTAGCGGCGGCCGCTGCGATCCCATCACCTGCAGCTGTGGTCCCGACGATGTAGCCAGCGGCACATCGATGAGGCTGCGAGCTGTAGTTGTTTCCCGGAGGCGCGAAGGTGCAGCGCCACGGGCTGGCAGCGGCACACCGGCCCCGCCGCCGCCGCCGCCGCCGCCGCCGCCGCCGCCGCCGCAGCTGCGTGAGACCAAGGCGGCGCGACCAAGGTCCAGACTCACGTGGGTGGCCTTCGAATGGGTCATGTGGCTGCCGCTGCTGCCGCCACCGAGAGCCCCTGAAATGCCTCCGGGATTGGCGGCGCCGTCGACACCTGCCGGAGGCTGGCGCTTGTCGGATGCGAACCTGATTACTGCAATGACTGGGTTTCCCGGCCCTGGCTTTCCCACTACCTGCACCGCCAGATGCAGCGGCCGGTGATCGCGGTGGAAGCCTTCCAGGTAGTGCACAGGGCCCACCTGGAGGGGATGAGGGAGATGGGGAGGGGGGTGGAGCGGGTGGAGATGGTAGGGACGGCCAGAGGAAGCGCGCGATAGCAGGTGAGGATAGCTAACAGAAAACTGCTCACTCTGGCATGAGGAAAAGGTCATTGACATGAGGGTCAGTCATAGAAAGGAAGGTCACAGAAGGGATGCCAACGAAAGGTGAAGCGTCCGCAGCCGCTAGTATGTAAGGATTCACCTTGACCGCAGTCTTGCCCTTACGGCTAGTGGCCTTCAGGGCGCTCTTCTTGGCGACGCCGCTGTCTGTGAGCAGGCCCACGGGACTCTGCCCCGGCTGGAAGCGCAGCAGAGCGCCCAGTTGGGAGCCGAGGATGTCCTCTTTAGGCAACCCGAACAGCAGCCCAGGCGGCCGCACCTCCTCCTCAAGGACGCCAGTAACCTTACCGGAGCCGTCAATCTCTAGCACACCTGCGAGGACGGGCGGGCAGGAAGAGTCAGAAAGAGGGCGCAATAATGTGCTGCTGCTCTTTCCGTTCGTGCTACTGCTGCTGCCGCTGCCGTTGCTCCCTAGAGACTCACGGTATCGTGGAGCAACCATAAAACGACGGGAGCTGTCAATCCTTGTTCAATTGTTTCATTGTTAGGTGTTGCCGCAATCTGTTAGGTTGCCGCTGTAGGGACTGCTCCCTCCCTCACGACCTAAGGGCCAAAGCAGTCGAGCTGCAAGGAAAGGACCCACCCGTGATGGCTTCCGCAAACCACAGCTCTGCATGTACCAAGAGCTTCTTCGGAGGACTCCCTGGAGCACTGGGCTTGGGAACCGTAACGTCAAGCTGCAAGCAGGTGGAGGGCAGGATGGAGGCCCAGAACAAAGCCCACCGACACGGTTAAGTGGGGTGGAGGATGTAAAGACTTAGGGGACAACGAACTGGAATGCGAACTGGGGAAATGCGCGCAGGGCGACAGGATAAGAAGCTAGTGCAGCAAAGCAGAGCAAGGGTAGGACAAGATAGATAAGAGAGAGAAAAAAGTGGAATAAAGATAATCGAGGCCCCGCCATGCATATCTGCGTCGCCAGTCTTGTTCTGCCGTACAAGCATACAGAAACTGATGCACCGTATCGCTATCCTACGTGCCTTGAGGATGGCCTGCTTGGTTCCCTTCGCCAGCACGGCGGCGGTTCTGGCTGGACTGTTCAATCCGGCGGCTTCCTTCGCTATGCGGGGTGACACGACGTTGACCCGCCACGAGATACCCGGGGACTGTAGTGCGCTGCAGCAGTACGGAGGGCCGTACAACATGCAAAGGGGAAGGGAAAGTAGGCCGGTGGAAGACTCGCGTGTTCTGAGTAAGGGAAGGAGATATCGAGAAGGGAGGGGATGAGGCAGAGGCCTACGCAGCAGGCCAAGAATACAAACGTGTTATTTCTCATGTCCTCCTACAAACCACCCTAAAAAGCACCATCATATACTCAGGTTAGGCACTACTGGTAAGGCACGGACCATTGCCCCCGGGAGATCCAGGGATCGAGACCTGTCAGGGTCGAGAATCCTTCCGATAGTAGAAGGTAAGGTATCCCCAATCGATGGACGGTGGTGACATGGGATGAAGTAGACTCGCGAGCCGACCAGGAATAGAATTAGACCACCGTCAAGCCGGCAAGGATTCCATTGGATGCTGGTGGTGGGTGCGGGAACCTAAACGATCCACTGAGAAGATTGGCTAGGGTGACTAAATGAGGGTGCCCCGAAAAACCGGGGAAGGCAGGGTTTCGCCGGGTAGCGGCCACGGGTGAAAATATACCCCCTGTCCCACACATCGTATAGGTACAACAACGCGGTACCCCTGTCGTACCTTGTGACCATGGCGTCGTACGTAGCCAAACCAAGCGGCTCCCAGGACCTTTCTCCAGGCTGCATACCGGCCTCCTCGAGGCCCATCAGGCCGCCGCCGCCGCCGGTAACCATTCCCGCCAACGCAGCCTCGGCCTCCGCCAAGAGGTCAAGCTCCGGCCGCGGCCTCGCCACCGGACGGCCCGCAATGGATAGGAAGTCCCAGAAGCAGCATCCCAGCAGCTGCCCTCGCGAGCAAGGAAGGGTGTGGGTCGTGCAAATCATGCCCGCGTGCGTTGCGTAGTAGGGGCCGACATCACCATGATGGTTTTAGATCAGATCTTATTGGGAATAATGCCATGTTTTAACAACTAAAGCAGAGGCCCCGATAGGGCACCAGCAAAGCTAGCTAACTACCATGCACGTGTCTCACTGTCTGTAGTTGTGTCGTAGTACGGAGTACGTCTACTACGCATGAATGGCAGGATGACCACTACGCTTTGACAACGGCTTGTTTTCACATGCGTGAGGTGGACGGTACGGTGAACGTGCGTACGTACCTCGTCCGCAGGGAAGCCGAACAGCCCGTCGGGATCTGCGTGGGTCACCGGGTTGTCCCCGACTTGCTGCTGTAACTCCTGTACGACACCCTCCAGTGAAACACGCATACGGAGGCGGCGCTCCGCAACGGCGGTCTCCAAAGAGGATCTGGGCGTGTGGTGTGCGTTTTAGGAGGGGCGAAAGGGACCATCGCACACCTTTGAAGTGCGGATAAGATTTCATACTTAGCTCGATCCGCTAAGATGTCATGTCTCCGGAATAATGCCTCCGGGTGATGCCTTGCGTGATGTCCTGCATGAGAAGAAAAAGCTACCACTAGCCAGACGTAGCCAAAGGAGGCTCCGCCGTCCACAAGAGGCTTTGCCCAAGTAGACTGGTGTTATAGCTCACGTAGATTATGCGGATAATGTTAATATTATACATGTATGTATAATGTGATGATGATGGGCAGTGTATGTACTACGACTGTGCGTGTTGCCGTACCTCGCCATCCGTACAACATGCATGGGCTCCCCTTCTTCCTCTCTCGATGTCACCGCTACATGCACGTAGATAGGCTTGCCGTGTATGCCCACCAGCTTCATGGTGGGACCCAGAAAGCTGCTGTTGTCGTCTAAGGCCGCTCGACAACCCCAAAGTCCGGATAGGTTAGGCGAGCCGCCCTTAATGTACTGCAATGTACGACACAAAGCCGTTTGGAAAGTCATCAGCAACACGCCCAAAAGGTAAATGGACATCCTACGGCAGCTGACGGGGGGTGAGAAGTTAGCGGCTCTTAGGCTCTCGCGAGATGTTGGGCCGATGTAAGCGTTCGCTTGGGCTTGGCAGTAACCTTTTTTTGTTGGGCGGGCCCCCAGCGCGAAGCGCCCAGGGGGGTCCCGCCCTGTAGGATTGCCCATGTCCGTGTGTCCGTGTGTCCGTGTGTCCGTGTGTGTGTGTGTGTGTGTGTGTGTGTGTAACGGACCAAACATAATATCTCGCCCGGCTGAAACGCGTTATTGGTAATATACTCCATTCTCTATTGCAAGGTATCTCGCCTGTAGCCAACAAAAATCGTATGAGCACAAACAAGTTTGGCTGTCTTCATTCACCGAACCCAAAGTCACATCAACGCCTCTCGGATAAAATTTAACCTCAAAAGGTGCCGCGTATCTCAATTGAATTCTGAGACGACGGGGTATGATAACTCGAACACCCAGCTTATGTTACCATTTGCCCGCACGGGCATTCCGACTTGCCACCAGCAGGCCGACAAATTTGCTTTCATTTCTCTATGAAATACGCAAGCTCCTCGTTTGTACAATTAATTTGGCCAATGCTCGGGGCCTCCTAAGAGTTGCAGTGTGCCGCGCGGCTCTGGGGCAAATTGCTGAAGCCGCTGGCGCTTCGGGGATAAACATCACAGACAGCACCGGAAAGTGCTACGGGCTTTGGGGAAGTGTGTCGAGCTAGGCTTTGAGGGGGGCGCCAAGGGCGCGTGAGCAGGCGCCCGAATGGGCAGGTCAATGCCTGAAGGGGCCGTAGGGGGCGCCGTAGGCAGTGCGTACGGTGCTGTACGGCGCTGTTTTCCGTGTGTGTTATGGCTGCGGCACCAGACCGCAAAGCCAACAGGCTGAAGGCTGGCAAGCTGCGATTGTGTCTGCTGAGCGTTGAGCATCCGGCCTGGACCGCGGACTTGGCGGCCGAGCCCCTGCTGTGTGCCGGTAACGGCATCTCAGGCTCATACGTTTACGCCCAAGCAAGGGGCTGTCGGTAGCAGGTCGCGGACCTCCAGACTACGTGTAACGGCCAATGACCCTTAGCCGTGTCTGCTAGGTTCCAGAGAGACATCGTCTCTTCAACAGGTTATGAGCCCCGGCTTCCTGCCTCCCGCGCTCTGACAAGCATAGCTCCCACAGCATCAGCACTGCTGCACCACGTTGACACTACCCTAGCTACCGGCCTGTACGGATGCAGGGGGCCCCCGCCCTTTTTCCGGCTTCGAGGACGCCGACACCCGACTTGTTTAGCATAGTCCTGCATCCTTACCTTTCTGTACTTGTAGTGCATTGCCTTCCAGGGTGAGGGTAGGAAATCGTCGAGGCAGCACGGCGGCGCCTCCACCGTTAGCTCCAGCATAACCTGCTGTGTATAAATGGACGAATGAACGAGCGAACGAACGAACAAACGAGCAGCGAACAAGCGAGCGAGTGAATGGACGAACGAGCGAGCGAGCGAATGGACGAACGAGCGAGCGAATGACAATGTTTGTATGAGCGGGCAAACATACGCGCGAATAGCTCCTTCGCCGTCAGTAAAAATTTCGATCGCCTATATAAGCGACACGGTGTTTCAATGCACGGCTTCAAGCAAGCGGAATTAGATATGTGGACAAACTTGTCCCCATTGTTGTCTTGATTGTTCCAGGCAAACCAAGCAAATATAGAGCGTGCTGCGGTGCAACTGGTGCTTGGCACCCAGCACGACAACCATGCACCTAGGTAGGGTACGTACGGTCCTGTACGGTCCGTACAGTGCATGGCGTATATCGCAAAGCATACCTGGTGGTCCCCGGTGCCTGTGTCTTGTCCGAGCTCGCCACCCGAGTCGCTGCCTGCCCGCACCCCCAGCACCTTGGCCAGGTCTCCGCTCATGTGGCGGATGGCGCCCTTGCGCTCCACCACCATCAGCAGCTGGGGCTCGTCGGATATCAGTTTCAAGCGGACCTCTAAGATGGACGAGTCGGTGAGATCTGGAGTCAATGAAATCGGTCCCAAGGGTGGCGTGGAGCGATTGGATTGCGGGTAGGTGTGAATGTATGTGGGTGTGTGGTGCATAGTTGAGGGTGCGTGAACCCATACCGGCAAATATCGTGCCCATCGTGCGGGGCTCTCAAAGGCTTCGTACTGCCTGCCCAAATGCCCTTTGTCTCATATCCATTCGCGCAACGACAACCTAGCAGCACATGCTTTTCGTTCTCGATTTGAGTGTCCGTGCCACAGCATGGGCAAGCCCATTACTTCTTCTTCTGCATAGAATGCCTTGGACACACGCGCTAGCGACCAGCAATACATCAGAATGTGTAAGAAGTCTGAGGGGGCTCGAGGAAATGCGAGCAAGTTGGCAGCAAATGTGTAGGCTCATCGATTAGCTTATACTACGACGTCAGCAAGAGAAGATGTTGCGGTGCAATAAAGGCTGAGTAGGCAAAGGGCTGTGTAGGGAAGGTCCGTGTGGACGACCGTAGTCAGCGGGGATTGCGGTGAAGCGAAACGGGATTATTATTGCAGCTTAATGGAATGCAGCGCGAATATGGTTGTGGCGCATGTGCTCGCCACATCGTGCTGGGAAAGCTGCGCGCGTGTATGAAACCCCGTGTGCGCTCTTTGCCAAACGTGGGTTGGATCATTCTGTGGCACCGGGGCTGGCGACGCGTACATATTATATGGCATACGCACCTTTCCGTACTTCAATATGGCAGGATTTGGCAAAGTCGTACTTATGCAGTACACGACAAGTAGTTGTATTGAAGCCCAAGGGGTTGCCTTCATCTCCGCCATCTAGCGCGCTCGTCAACATCCTACAGACGGACGGAGGCACTCATTGCCGGAAGTGCAGAGGGAAAGTGTGCAGGGACAGCTGGGCAGTGATAGTACACCAAGCAACGGGAATATCGCGATACACTTGGAAGCGAAGAGGCGCCTCTTCCTTACGCAAGGTTCATCCCGTAGATGTTGCCGTACTGCAAGTCCCGTGTAATCATACCGTTGGACAAGCTCATGTTTGGCATGGTTGGCCTTGTTGGTAGCCCAAACATCCACCGTGGCGGAGGCTTCTGGGCCACCGCCATCACTGTTCCCGCTTGAACGCAGTAGCTTGTCCAAATGCGTGCCAAGCACATCTTCTGGATGATACCTGCCCAAGCGCATTTGGTGGAGGTTGGTACTTTACAAACGACCCAGGCCAGAAGCCCGACTCCGAAACCTGGGATCCATACTAGAATCCAATTACCTTAACGGTAACTACACTTGTTTATTCAACTATTAAGATGCGGTTTGGAGCTTGGAGCTATCGTGGTTTCGTTGGATCTCTACCCGACAACGCATAGGGCTCCAGGAAAATGCAGGTGCACACTCACGAGGTACATGTCGCCAATATATCCCTATTTTGAAAAAAAGAGATAGGTCATGGCAGCAGCCGTTTCTCACCCCTCCCTTACTCCCTCCCAGCTCCTTACATTGCTTCCTCCCTCCCACGCCATTGACACTGGGACACTGGAAATCTAGCTCCTGCTGGATGCCGGGGCTGCCACGCAATCCCCCACCCGCACCCGCACCCGCCAGCCACCCATGCACCAACCCAAGGAGCCCCTCCCCTGCCCGCCCGCCACGCCGCACCCGAAGCACGTGACGAAGCCCGGGTCGCAACACACGATGACGCCTTCGGGGGTCACCCACACGCGACCCATGCCGGACTCTGAGGGAACCAGCTCTAAAACTCCAATAAAGACACTATCCTCCCCAAGACCTGAACACACGGTGTCAAAAAGCGTACAGGCAAGTACGGCATAGTCGTGCTTGCAGGGCAGAGGTGAGGGCAATCAAGCTAGTGGGCTTGAAGGGAACACAGCACATTTGGCATGCGGCAACGGTTTCGCATTCGGCCCATGTCACGGATTATTACGATGCCGTGCACGTAGCTCATTGACATACACTCGGCCCTTCGCAAATCGCAATGGGCATGGAAAGACGAGGTGGCAAAATTTATTAAGGATCTCTTACGAAAACGCCTAGCTAGCATTGATAGAAGTAAAAACTTGTATACGGTATGGTTGCAATTGTATAATTTGTCCCGGCATTATCTCAGATTTATAAGTCTTAAGTGCAATTGCACGCGACAACATGCAGCCCATGCCTTAGGTAGGCCTGGTAGGCTATCTACCTGACCAGGAAGCCCCTCATGCCATTTGCCCCATGCACTGGCAAGCTAACTATCATTACTGGATTGCCCCTGCCATGCCCCGCCGTGCTTAAACAGACCACTCGCATCGCTCCGCACACAGCCCGCTGGTCCATTTCACATATCTACCCTTACAGTGCGAACGAATAAGCTACTTCAGTTTGCCCAACCAAAACTTAAGCCTGACGTCATCGCCCAAATTAGGACCGGACCGCCCCAATGGCCTGATCAAGCCAGCCGCCACCCAGCACTCACCTGAAGCCCTGCTAACGGCGATACGCACGGTGATTGCCACACGCTCCCTGTGGATGCCCAGCACTGGGTGCCTAAAGTACGGGGGAGCCTTATCGCCGGAGTCAATGTAGCGACGCAGGATTGCTGGATGGCGCTTGGCCTCATGTGGTGGCATGAGGGCAGTAACGTTCTTGCCGTCCAGCTCCCCTGCACATAAGGCAACACCTTCCTTCAGCTTAAGGTTTCTCAAGCACCGAGCTAAGATAAAAAATATTATTATTATTATTATTATTATTATTATTATTATTATTATTATTATTATTATTATTATTATTATTATTATTATTATTATTATTATTATTATTATTATTATTATTATTATTATTATTATTATTATTATTATTATTATTATTATACGAACCTTTCTTGTAGCCAAACATTTCGTGGAGCTTGCGGTTGGCCACCTGGATGTCACCGAACGCGTTCACCACCAGGATCCCCTTCTCCACCTCGTCAATGCGACTCATAGGTGTACCTGCACTCATTCGCGATAAGCAACGGCTGGTAAATGTATCGCCCATTTCTTTTTTTCACAACACAGGAATTAGAGACCTTGGTACCGCCATAGGTACCGCCCACAGCATCTGCAGCTGTGTAGCATCCTGGGCTTATCACGGGATCTGAATCCGCCGATCGGTACTTTTCTGAAGTCGTGATATAAAAAGCTGCCACAGCATTTACAGCTGCAACCATGGCATACATTACGCCAGACAGCCCCACCCATAATGTTTGTGGGTAGACTAACCATCGGGAAGGCTTGGGCCTTGACCATTATAATCCTTCGTCTCTTCCAACCGCTCCGCCGCTTCGTAGTACCTGAAGGCAACGCCGTACAGACGCATGAGCTTTGTCAAGCGCAAGAGATGCTGTTATACACATATCCTGAAACACTTATGCATATGCATACGTACTTGGACTTTCGCACGCCGTAAGGAGTCGGGCAGCAGGCTTTATCAAAGAGCGCCATGATACACACGTGCCGCAAAACTGTCATAGCCGCTCACCCGCTCACTCGCTCACCCACTCGCTCACTCACTCGCTCACTCACTCGCTCACTCACTCGCTCATTCACTCGCTCATTCACTCGCTCACCCACTCGCTCACTCGCTCGCGCACTTTCTGGAGGCGATCTGACTAGGCATTCCTCAATAACTGGACACGTAGAGCCCAAAACGTGCGCAATACACGAAGAGTTTGTCGACCCGGAGTTTCATGCAGCACTGTGTGACAGCGAGCCCCATAAAACGTCAACAGCGGCACTGGAGCACCCCAGGCCTGGCTGGCAGCAGGTCTTCTGCTATGCAGCCAATTCATCCAACACGCACATCACGGATAAAAAAACTCACTGCGCGGCGGTCCAGGGGTCCTGCTTAATGGTCTCCAGAAACCTGGCGTAAAGCTGTACAAGTCTGGGCGAGTTGTTGTATAATTCCATGGCCACACGATACGCTGATTCCGCCTGCGCGATCCGGTAACCAGCATCAGCACCGGTGGTAGTTTTTAGTAAGTACATCAAAAGCAGACAGGATAGCCTTATTAGGCAAGCAGGTTGTGTCTTGATCAGGATGCGCATTGGGGAAAGGCGTCCATGCAAGGGCTACAGCGCCAACAAGCCACAACACAATATCAACACGTGCCTGCTGGAAGCTGCTGGCTCTATTGCGGAATTGCGTGCGTCAGGATTGCGTGCCGCGAAAAAATATTTTGTTTTCGTCGAGTACAGAAAGAGTTTAGAGGCTCCATACGTTCTTTTAGATGTGCGGTAATTTACGGTTTTTGACTTACCTTCGATACTGAGTTGTCGATATTCTCCAGCGAGCGGCTGAGTGATGTGAAAGAAATGGAACTGCTACCCAGGATGCGCCTGCGCACGACAGCAAGTGACGGAAAACATAATCCAGGGGAAGAGGATTGAAATGGACATGCACATTATGTTACCAGAGTGTATTTGTGTGCACTCAAAATCACTGAAGCGGGGGGCGGCTGTGTTAGGAGCTTACCAGAAGTTTGCCATAGCTTGCAGAGCGTCCTTGTGGTGACGTAGGACGGTTCGCTGCTTGCGCTGGTATTCAACATACCTACAGAAGACACGGCAGGCACGGAAAAAGCATCCACTCTCCATGCGCACATGTGCACACGCGCAAGCCGATAACCACAGCAGCACGCCCTTATGAGGCTGATCCGCACGCTAGAAACACGCAAAAAGACAGTCCATGGACCTGCCAAGCGCGTTTTAGCATACGTAGAACGAATTCCCGAAACGAGAGGGTCCTAGAATAATCCCAAGTTAGATGCATGGATACCAGCGAGAAGGTACCGTTCCAGGCACGCTCACAGGCCATGTCCCAAACCCCTCTTCCTCCCTCTCCGCTCTCACCCCAGGAGATCCATGCTGCCTCCTTTGCCGACGGTGCTGCTCGCCGCCTTCTGTGTGGCTTGCTGGTGGCGCACGAAGAGCATGAATCGACACATGAGGCTCGGGTTGAACTTGCGCACGCTCTGCATCGGGTCAGAACAGGAACGCAGTAAGAAGAACTCACCGCGAGGCGGAGGTATAGATGAGGAAACACAATTGCGCGGCGGCGAAAGATGCGTTCACAGGGCCCCAGCACGAGGCGCTGCGGAGACATGAAAAGATGCTGACGACAAAAAAAGTAACAATGCGGCAGCAATGATGGCATCATGTGCTGAGCAGGAAACACCTCAACACCGACCACTTCAGGATTTAGGGTTTTACCTCGGCGTCACAACTCCCCTCAAGCCATTACCCCTGCCTCCCGCTTTCCACGCGCCACCCCGGCCACCCCGGGCTAGCTGGCCAGCAACCCGCCTTTCCGTACCACCCTGCCCTTAGCGAGTTGGTTAGCTAACTGCCTAGCCTAACTAACAATCTGTTAAGCTACCTCGAGCTGTCTGGCTCCCGTCTGGCTGAACCCCAACATGTCCAACATGAAGTTGGCGTACACCGCGGCCACGAAGGCGCTGTCGGGGAACAGCGCAACGCCGGCCTGGGTTAGGGAAGAAAGGGGTAGATGGCATCACGCGAGCACGGAACCAGGAGGAGCTTAGGAAAACCGGAAAACTCCTGGACAGGATGTGCCGCCATCAGCGTTGTGGGAAAGGCAACGCACATAGTTTATGGCAGGAATGCGAGGTTCGGCGTCAAGTCGAGTTTACCCTCCCGCTCATTAATATCATTGACATAACAGGCCCTTACCTGGTTGGCTAACTACCGACAAATCGTTGCTGGCACAGTTTCGACCGCCCAGATGACTGCTAACATCTGCTCTGTTAGCACCCGCATGCAACCATTCCCCGAGAAGCTTTCATGGATAATGCTGCTCCCCTTGGATACTATCTATGCACCTATCCCTTGGGCACATCCCTTCATCCCTCTGTCCACCCCGCCGTGCAATTCCCACCACTCCACTACCAGCACTCTCCCCATCCCTCGCCTCACCTTGATGATTTCCTCGGCCCGGTGCACCGCTGTCTTTTCCAGCGTGTACAGGTCGGTCCACACGCGGGCGCAGCGGGCCGCCACCTCCACGTCACGAGGGTGGGCGAAGTGGTAAACATCCTGAGGCTTGACGGCTTCCGGGTCGGCGGTCCTGTATGTAGGCGTGCATGTACGAGTGTTTTTATTACAATGCCTGTATACATGTGGTTCATTCGTGCATGGGCCTTTCAATAGCAGCAGCGGATCAGATGTAGAGCCAGACTTACAGCCAGACACACCGGCCCGTGCAGCAGGGTCTTGATGCATTGAGCCCCTTCCTGCTAGGTAGCTCCTGGTTAAGCCTAGGCCTCGATTGCGGCTGTGCCGCTGCGCTCCTTAGCTAGCGTTTATTAGCTGAACGACTTCCCACGGAGCCTACATTAACAATGATACAAGCTTGCATCGCAATGCCCCGCGGTACGTACATGCATCAACAAGTGCGTCTTGCCTCCGTATGTTTTCGTCCAAACCTGGCCCCCGCCAGTTTGAAACTAGAGAACTGGCCTATTTAACCTATTTGCTTGCTGCATTACCGAGTTTCTGCCACTACTGGTACGAACCGCTGACGTCGTTAGAATGTTGGTTGTGCGTACCGACCTGAAAGCATGGCTGACAGCCACGTGGAAGAGCTTGATGCGTAGGTAACTGGCTACGGCGCCAACGGCGAACGCCGGCCCCAGGCTTATCGCCATTGCCATGGTCAGGTCCCTTGAGGCGCTGCGCGGCAAGAACACCAGCATTACCTGCAGGGCCGCCGTGCTTAGCATCGCCGTTGCTACACCCGCTTCCAAGCAGTTCACCCATATCAGCAGACTGGGCACCTGCGATGCAATTGAATTGAGGACATACATACACGCGTAGGACCATCCCTCTGTAAACCTACCTACGTACGCAAGTATTATAGACCTTTAGGCGGGAGCCACCGCTATCTACGATGCTCTACGTTGAAACACTCGTTGCGAGCAATGTGGAAACCCTAAAACCCAACCGTATGAACGCACGTACCCATCGTAGGTGCTCCCAAAGAAGCCACGCCGCCAGGACACAATACGCCACCGCGGCCACCTTGGGCCAGCCCAGAAACACGTTCACCAGCGTCATCAGCGCCTACGGGAAGGCGGCGGCGGGGACCAGTGCGTGTATGTGTCTCTGAACTATGTCATCTAGACAGCCAGGTCAACCAACCGACCAACCGGCCAACCTGGGTTCGACCCCAGAATGGAGAAAGGGTAAAACTTCGGTCCAGGTAAGGGAGCAAATGAATGGAGCAAATGAATGGAGCAAATCATGTGTCGTTTGCTTCCCGTAAGATGCAAAATGTATATGCGGCAATGGCATAGATACTTGCTATGGCTGCACAACAAGGCGGGAATGTAGCGGAAATATACTGCGGCTACTTGATTGAACAAGACCCCTGATTTTAGCCAGCGCACAGTGGCGATCTAGCAGAGCACAAAACCACTATGCGTAGTCATCATCGCCAACCACTGCACTGGCCCTTCCTAGCGCTTACCTGAGCGTCCCCTGCCTGCCCTGGCCTACCTTAATTCCGAACGCTATCATGGCCCCGCCGCTGTGGCCTAGTGCCTGAGGCAGCTTGCTTGCGGGATTCACCTCCACCTTTACGAAATAGAGCAGGGAAGGCAGGGCAGGGCAGGGCAGAGCAGGGCAGGACAGGGCAGGGCAGGGGAGGGCAGGGCCCAAGCAACTCACAGATAAGACATTACACACTTCATTTTGATAGTGCAACGTTGCTGGTGCCGGGCCGAGGGCGGGCCGGCGGCCTATCCTTGCCACTCAAAAGCAAGCCCATCAGAGCAGTCATCAAGCACGGGCATGCGGGCGGCCGCTAGCGATCTAGACACTGTTCGATGTCCAGCAAAGAACCTCCTCGTCCCATTATTGCATGTACGGCTTATGATTCCGTACCTCCGCCATGTTGAACAGCAGTGCAATCACCAGGAAGATCAACATTAGCAGCCCCGACACGACGGCGTTGACAATGTGCGGGGGCCGCTGGCAACCTGCGCGATACGTGCAACAAATGGCAAAGCAGCGTGTGTTGGTACGTTCACTCATTAACCATATTTTCCTCTTGGGGTGCTTTGCATACCGCCAACCTGCTATGACTGGAATACTCGTGAGGGGCTCTTGTACAAGCTCTTGTGTGCATGCACGTGCTGCTGCTGCTGTGCATCTCATCTTTCCATTAATTTTAATTATTATTAATTAATTTAATGCCTTTAAAATTCCAGACAATGACATGTTCACGACCGATGCCACTGCTTACTGTACCGGCCGCGACGCCGCTCTGGTAGCAAATCCATAAAGCAGGGTGGCCGCTTTCGGTCACCGTAAGACACGTCGATCGACACAAGCTGACGCGTTGAGTGGCCCTTAGGTCCCGGCTCGCATGCGCCCATGTTCGGCGCTGGCCCATGGGTCCCGACTCGTACGGGCTCTTTACAACTTTGCAGGATAACACAACTTCAAAAGGTGCGACACACATACATACATACACACGCGTTGCGTGCTGAGTTTGTTTCGGATCACACATGGACACCCGTACAACCGCTTTTTATTCCTAGTTGTTACATGATGTGCGATGTGCCGTACGGCCGCGCGCAGCTTACTGTATTGGGGGAATAGCTCCATGCGGAGATGCGCCTTGCCTTGAGCCCCGTAGCCGCAGGAAATGCCCAGCTGCGCCGAAGCAATACCGAAGAGAGTTACGCAAGGAAAATCCGGAACCCAAGACACCCACATTGAGGGGAATCCGTGGATGGAGGGCGAAAACGGCACGCGAGAGGATTGGATTAGGAGGCATAGGGCAAAGCGGGATGCAGACGAGCAAGTGCACAGCGGGACGTTGATGATTTTGGCTTGCAGGCTGAACAACACGCCCTGCGCACATGAGGCGAATACAGCAATGCAAGGCGTCAGGGAGCGCGAGGCAAGGAAAGGCGATGCAACGGCAACATAAATATTCCTTAACAGCCAGCAGGGGTAGCGATTGCCTGGGAGCTGGCAGCTGCAGCAGTGAACTCCTTATCCTCCCCACTCAAACCTTTCCATATCATCAAATGCATACATTGTTTCTGAAAAAGCATGCAGCTAACCGGTCCAACATTCCTCCGAATCGGCCGCACGTCCAGCCCTCCCTCAGGCCGAACTCAAGACGATAGACCTATACTATACTACTTAATGAAGGGTACCTGCAAGAAGCTGAGGCTTGTCATGTCAAAAACTTGTAGGAATACGTACGAGAAGTATCGCACAACCTGCACGCATGTAAAAACTCGAAATAAGTTAATCTCCTTATTCTCCAGTATGGGACGTACAGCATGGGTGCTACAGCATTGCTAATGGGGGTTTAGCATGGGGGCTACAGGATTGGGCTATAGCATCATGGTAAATAGCATCGGAAGTTAGATCACAAGCAAGGAGCCATGCTTTTTACAAACATCATAGGCCCGCACCGCCGTACGGCCTAACCATTTTCCACATGCTGTAGAGGTCAGCAGCGTACATTCCTTTCCACATCGCTTTGCTTTTTCTTCCATTGTACGGCACTGTACCGCCGTACCTTTATGGGCCAGACGTAATCAAACTTTTGCTCCTTAAAGCTCCATGCCACCCAAACGCACAGCGAAAGGTTGACAGCCAGCACGATCGCAAATGTATACAGTACGGCCACATACCATTGGTAGCCCTGCAAGTAAGTGTGTGAGTAATACAGGCAGCCAAAAGCCACTACTTTATGCGTTGGACCGATCGCCATGGGAACTATGGAAATAGGCCAGTCGTTGTGATCGCCGCCAGCGTGTCCTATAAGCCAGACCCGTTCACCCACCAGACCCGTACAGGCGCCGCCGGCCATCCACTCGTGATATCCGTACCAGTCCAGGCCGTACACTCACCACATCCTTGAACCAGTCAAACGTCAGCACGGAAATGCACTTCCACAGCGTACTCTTGGGGTTGATATCCCAGCCGAAGTCCGGCCTCACAATCGTGATATAGATTTGCCATGCCGTCACGAAGTACTGCGCACATGCGTGCAAGCATCAGATCAGGCAGCGGTGGTGCTGTACATACATGCAAATGACATAAGGGGGGGACGCCTCACAAACGATTACCACCACTGCCCGACTCTTCCTACAAAGCCGATGGTGGCACAACACACTAACGCCGGCGGGTCCTTAACCAGCGGGTCAAACAGGTGGTCCTCTTAAAGGTTGTCCTTTCTTAAGCAGCCCAACAAAATGCTCCAACGGTATGGATATCATTAACTCCTGCGCGTCATTCCAAGGCTGTTCACTTGCGCTTCCATTTCCGCCATCGACCTTCCGTTGGGCCCCCGTATACACCCTTTCCTTCATCGACAAAAGTGTCTTCGTTGGTTTTAAGTCGCTGGTACCGTTATGCACGGTTTGGCTTCGCCATACAATACGAAGGGGGCATTGGCTTCCGCGGACGCAAAATGCCATTACTTTTATGGCTGAAGAACTGCGGCTAGTTTTCTTCCGGAGACCAGGCACGTGGTGCCCAGGCGCGTCGAGGCAAGGCGAACTGAGGAGGGCGACAACATCCCCTCCCGGCGCCACAATAACAGACATTGACCGCCCAGAGGGCGCTGCCTTTTACGGCCGTCCACCGCCCACTCGTCCGGGGCTTGTAACCTGTAACTTACGCTCCTCCTCGTGTTCTGGAAAGCCTGGGCTCGCCATCCCCTGTTGCTAGCCAAAACTCCGGTAGGATCTTTCCATTCACTCCTCATAGGCGTCCTTTGCCTTGCTGCTTACCTTGAGGATGGTCCAATGATAGCGAATGTGCTGATGGTCCTTCTCTTGAAGAGTGAAAAGCACTCCGAAGACACCCGACTCCAGCGATGGCGTCTGCGATTGTTGGGTCGGTGATGGGCGTGCTTGTTAGCCAACAAGCACGTGCGTGCGTGCGTGTGCTTGTCGAGAAAGCGCTTGCACTAGTCTGTGTGCTGTTTGTGCAGGCCAGTAACGAAGCTGTCAGGGTCACAGAAGACACAGGACGCGGGTTAGTTTGTGAGATACTTTCCCCGAAAGGAGCCAAGCATCTGGATTACGGGGCTCAAGACTTCAACGAGTGAAAGATAGTAATTTCAAGCGCAGGGCCAGCCGCAGGGCCCGCAGGGGAGTGTGTCTGTGTGTGTGTGTGTGGGTGTGTGTGTGGGGGGGATGTATGGCGCAAAGCAGTGCTCCATGCTGCTTCTCGCCTTGGGAAGGTCACTGTTGGCACAACGCGGCGGATCGAGGACTAGCCAGGACTGGCTATTGGTGTGCGAGAAACAAAGCAGGTATATTGGTTGCGGTGCGCCAAGACCACCCAGCGCTATATTGTATTCTTCCGGTTGGCCAGCATCGGGCGCACCGTCACACTAGGGGGCTTGACATTCATTTAGTGCCCCCAGGGAGCGACAGTTCTGCACATTATACTGATTGGGCTTGCAACCAAGTGCAACCAAGCGCCATCCACGATGGCAGTATAGTAGGTCATGCATCTTCGTTCTGCCCCCGAGTCCGGTAAGGAGAATTCATGAACTTTGTACCAACAAACCACCCAGAGCTGCCATTGTCTAACCACCAACGACTGGTTTCGACTCTGGATCAGCACACGCAAGCGTAATTCAGTCCCGCATCAGGCTGCGGCAAAGTTAGGGTTTCTTTTCAACGAGCTTCAATTGCCTGGCTGGATAGGCACCTAAGCTGCTCGCGCGCCATCCCCAGTAGCTGGTCGGTCACCTATCCGTCGCCTATCTATTTCTTTGTACTAAATGGCATCTTGGTGCTTTATCGGAGCTAGATTGGGGTTATGGTGAGACAAGAATACGGCAGCGGTACGCTGTATGGGGCTGTACGTCGCACGTTTTCTCCCCTTGTAATTGCTTGAGCCAAAATCCCCCAAGGGCCCCCCAGGTAGTTTGGGCCTGGTATCCCGCAGGCTAACCGTCTAGAACAGCGAATACAATGGCGCCACCAGTCGAAGTGAGCATTAGCAAAAGTAAGGAAAAACGGCATCAGCTGGATACCGCGCGTGACGGTTCGACTTGCGCTGCTCGCTCACGCAGCGGAGTGGAGTAGGTACGACCTCTTCGCAGGCGATTAGATCAGCCGGTCCAGGCTGCTGTCGGGATCGAAACCATGGAAACGGAGGGTGACATCCATTACTATCTACGAGACGTTTACAGCCCTTCGCCCATATCCACCCAAACCTGCAGCAGGTCGTCCTGCTCGGCATCCTGGTTGATAATTCTGGACCTGCATTGCACGTTGGCAAAAGTTTTGGGGAGGCATTAACGTACCGGTACTGTCGTCAACCTATGGAACAACCCGATAGATTTTAGTGTACATGTTCATGTTTGCGTCTTCTAAATCATCCCATATTCCCTTCTGAGATTTTTACTTTCGGCGCATGAGTCAGGGGCCAACGCACCTACCCCGGGTTCAACGTACTATCCCAGGGACGAATCTAGTAACTCACTTAATGTCGGCTTCATGATGGAAATTAGATATGGCGCCATTGCTGCTAGTTAACGACTCCGCACGTTGCAAGGCCATTCAAAGATATGGACAAAATGCCTCCCTTAGCGAATAAGCCCTATCTCCACGGAGGCGAAGGAATTAAGTTGGTTTCCTGGTCATCGGTCTGAAAAGGAGTGGGATAAGCCGCCGAAGGAAATACGTGTCTCGGCCTCAAAGTCCATAAACACATTTCCTGAAGGCATGCCTACTTAGAGAACTACCCAGTAAAAACACTCATGTGCTTACACAAGAGAACACGTGGGGATGTCTTACAGGAGTAAGATAGGGCTACTCGAGAACTAACACACTCTGTACGATGGATACGGACTTAAATCGCGTTGGACGATACTCTCTCACGACGACGTTCCTATCTAGCGATACTTTACAGGGTCTCGTGTACCCTTTTTCTACCTTCTCTTCAACAATAAAATCTTGCAGAACAGGAACGATGCCCTTCAGCAGTCGCAAACCTAGTTAGCGAAAGGCCCCAAAACAAGTTCCATACAAACTATGCTTCGAGCAGGCTCTGCGAAAAGGAGGCGGTATGCTGACTGCGGCTGTGCATTAATCAGCTATAGACCTCGGTATGCAAAAAATTCGATTTGCCTTTGTCGAAATACCTACAAAGGCCTCTGTGAATTATGGTGCTGGTGTATTATGGGCTCGTGGGTTGCTACCTGGCTTATACGGCCAACATATACGGTGCATAGCAAAAGTGCGATAACTTGTTCGCGCGGTCTAGCTTAGCCATCTACAAACAATATACTCTAAATTGGGCCACACATTCTTGACTGGTAGGAACATGTCTAGCAAACACAAAACCGCGTACACAAAAAACAAGTTGAGCAACCGGCACGGCTGAGCCGTAAGTACATATGCGTGTGTGTCACTCGCACATCCAGTAGCCACTTATCCCAGCCATTCAATAGCCGTTATCATCAATAATGCGAAGAACAGCCAGAGCTGCGCCGGTGTTCACACGGTGTTTTTTTTGTTGTGTTACGTAGGTGCATTTCCAGTGCGGATTAAGGCCAGGGATTAGGGCACGGAAGTCCTTGGTACGGGCTTACCACATAGTTTTGTTCCATAAGGGAACCAAAGGTTGAAAAGGCGAGGTAAGTTTGCCAACAACTTAGCCGTTTGAGCAAGTATCGATGGAGGACAGAGGGTTAATCCCTGGCCTTAATCCGCACTGGAAATACACCCTTAGTCGCACTATTGTGCGGACATATGAAGAAAAAGAAACAACAACAACAACGGAAGTACAGCTGTAGTAGTGCTCATGTGTCTGCAGAGTCATGGAAATCTGTACTGAACCCACGCACACATGAGCACTACTACTTCACTTTTGGAACCTCAATCACACGCAACCAACCGCTTTTGCATGTGTGCGCTACCTATGCGCTACACACCGGGCGGGGCACGGGGCGGCTTCTATATGCACGAATCAATGCCAACGAAGCCACGTGGCAAGCAGCTGGCTTTCCCCCCAGCGTTGAAGCAGTCCCAGCAGTCGCGCGCGCACTTCTATACCTTTCCGTCCAGGGACTCGTTTATTAATAACGAGTCCACTAACCATTGCGATGCTGCTGGTGGCATCTAAGAACAAATCACGGCAATAGTCAAATAATTGGCGTTGCAGCAACCAAACGCCGTACAGTGTATACACATGCATCGCCCCTTATGTTCGCTAGCATAAGTGTACTCGCGCGTTTAGTAAAAGTCTCGATGGGGAAGCCGTAACTGCGCGTCAGGAATATCCCGTCACGCGAAAAGGCGTTCACCGCCTTTTAGCAAGCCTCCCAATACTAATAGGATGCAACATGGGGCAAGCAGGTCAGGGGATCGATGCCTGCCAAGCAATCCCGCGAGATCCAAGCGGATCATTTGTTGCTGCATAAATGCCTCTGCCACGATTGCCGCCATTACCACGTCCGCTCTATAGGCTGCCGCTTATAGACTGGAGGGCCCCGCCGGCATTCCCAACACTCCCGACTCCCTATAATAGTCGTGGCCTATCTGGAGTAGCCGGCCCTTGAGGATGCGGGGGATCTCCCACACAGATATGCTCCCATGGGGGCACTGCCTTTCCAGCAGCTTGCCCCATGATCAGCTAGGGGGGCAGTTGGGCCGTGATAAGTTCGTGATGGACAACATACAAACGGACAACATACAAACGGACACGGACACGGAGGTGCAGCCATATCAGCGGGTACTATTGCTGGCATTTGTGCACGATAAATTATATAGCCCGGTGCTCCACCCACTTGATGGTCCCAAGCCACCGCGGCTCACCGATCACATATGATCTTATTGGTCGCAGCAAAGCGAGGAGTCTGGGTGGGCGATGCAGCGACCTCTGGCGATGTCAGGTGAATAGTTCCGCGACCCCATCATCTCTACGTACACTCAGTACGGGTCGTTGTACGGAAACCCCTGAGGCCGGGGTCCTGGTAGCCGATTGAGTTATTGCCTCGAGGCTTTCACAAACGTCTCCGCAAGCTATAGCTAGATTGAGACTTGGGCACCCCGTTATTTCCCTAATCAACACAGCCGCAGTAGCCTACAAACCGGACCGCAGGATAGAGGTCCGGGTCAAGTAGCAAATACTTTGCATTAATTGCTGCGCGAGAGGAATTAGCAACCGAAGGTACAGCGTCCGGCATATGCATGGCGATAGTATACGCCATGCATGTATGTATGTCGCAACTTGATTTCCCAGCAGCCAGCAACAGGCGATAACGGCGGGTCAACGATTAACGACCGAGCAACTTCTTGCAGTATAAATCCTCGTTGCGAACTAATCGCGCTGTGGAGACGGAGCGATGCAAGAGCATGGAGAAGTGAGGACAACAAAATGGAGCAGTAGTGGAGGACGACAGATGGCCGTGTGTGGGGCAGAGGGCGCACAAACTCAAACAGCATGCCGCTGGAGTCGATTCAGCTTTCGGCAGGAACACAGCCTACAAAAACAGTTATGACTCCAAGCGCTTTGTAATAAGTAAAGCAGATTTTTGAGCTCACAGATGGCAACACAATAAGCACCCAGCGGATCTGCCCTGCCTTGGAAAAGGAGCAAAAACGCTGCTGGTAAGCACGTCATGAAAACACGTCAAGAAAAACGCTAGAGACCCTCACTCATATATATATCACCACACGACGTACACGCCCTTTATTGCAGGCGGAACCTACCATTCATCGGCGCTCTGCTCTTCGGGCAGTTTTTGTTGCCTTCAATACGCGACGAGACGCACGCAGGCATGCATGTAAAACTACACCATCGTACCTGCCTCGTTTCGCCTTCCTTTATGTCGTCGCTTCCGTATGTATTCCTTTAGAAAAGATAAAATACAGCGCGATTCAAATTAAGCCACCGAACGTGTGACTTCCGTGTTGTTGAGGACTGCTCGCCAACAACTTCTTCCCTGCTAACAGCTTTTTCCCTGCCAACAACGGGAGTCTGGGGCCCACTGTAACAACCACACACACAACAACGGAATGCCGAAAAGCCGGGAGGCGCGCACCCGCTAAAGTCCTGTTAACCTTCCATCACATTAACCTTCCATCACCGTCACCGTACACTGCAAATAAAGAGGGTACAGAAAAAACCCGAGCGCTCATGAAACTTACTTTACCTGAGTCCTGCAATGAAAGTTGCAGGGGGCTGGAACATCCCCAACAAGATAGCGCTAGGGAGCGAAAGGGAAGACAAAATCCTGAAAGCCCAGCCAGAGTCCGTACCCAGCCAAACATGCGCGAAATGCATCCTTTTCTCCAGAATAACCACCTGGTCTGTTCAGATGTATATGTATGCACAGACATCAGATATTTTCCAGGCAGCAGGACTTACCCTGCCCACGGCAATACATATTTTTGTTAGATAAGCAAAGCGCCGGACTCCCCCGGGTCCTATTACTGCCGTCACCATTCATTGGTATGAGTGCCGGTCACTTTCCAACAATTTTACTTTAAAAATTCCAGCAAACTGCAAGACGAAAGCCATCAATGCGTACATGGGCAGTTGTGACTGCCACCCGGATGCATGATCGGGCTATTTCGAGCCATGGTCCGTGCGAAAGCTAGGATACGGCTTATTACGTTTCTTTCCCGTTTGTGATTTCATAATTGAACATAAGTAGGACGCAAGGGACCAGCCCCTTCACGGTCAACCTTTCACGATCCTTACGGCCTGCCGGAGGACCTTTTCGCAGTCGCCATGCTCGGCTCCGACTTTGTGATGGAGCTGACATTTGTTGCCCTGCAGGGGTTCAATTGGCGGTGTGCGATCAGGCGATAGCGCGCGTGAAGGCAGCGACAAAAACGTCGAGCGGCGAACAAGGGCAAAAAAGGAGAGTGGCGAAAGAACTCCGGTGCCCGGGCTATTGTGAAAAAGTGGGAAACGGCACAGAGGGTGGAACCCAGGTAAACCGACAACTAACTGTTTTATTGAAGCCGAGGCATAATTGTGCGCGTCGGGCAAGTTCCTTGACGAAAACGAATCGGCCAGAACTTAGTCAGCTAGCAGGGTGCGCACCGGAATCACCGTACAGAATACGTGTAGACATGGACACATATGCGCAGATGCATACACAACGAAACACATGCAGCACGACCATCTTGCACGCACGGTTATCGCGGGCAGGTGCGCAAACACGTACCGATTCAGGATGTCCTTCCAAGCCTGATAAGCCTTGCTGCCGACGGGGACGTCGCCGATCTTGGCTGAACCACTGCCACCGCTTCCAAATCCTCCGAGACCGCCGTCACCTGATAGCACCATCGCGCCGCTTACGGCGCCACCGACCAAGGCTCCGGAACCAGGCTCCACCTCCACATTGCTCATGCCGACAGTGATGCGCCGGGTGGATGTGGCGGCGGCATCTACCTGGCTGCGGCGGCGGTAGGAATGCTGCAGCTTGGGCTTGGGGCCCATGAGGGCGGTGCTGACCAATCGCATGACATCGAGTTCCGTGGGCAACTGGCTCATCATCTCCGCTATGCGGCGTTTCTGCGGGGCCGACGACGAGGGAGGTAATGATGGGATGGATGGCTTCAGCGAGTACGGTGGAACGGGGTGGAAGTGGAGGTTGCAGGGAGCGGGACGACATGCAATACCGTACTGCTACTTATAGTTCGTGCTACAATAATTCGGGAGGCACCACGAATATGTAGCACGTACAAATTCTAAGGTATCCCAAGGGACCGCAGCCCCGAAATATCGTACCCTCCGAAGCCGGTCGATCAAACTTCGCAAAAATTACGAGTTCAAGGCGGAAATCAGCTCTTAAATACATAAAATATAGTCATAAACGTAGGACATGAACAACGCTGGAAAACGTGCAAGATAGGCAACCCTGCTTCAATGCGGGATGAAACCGCTAGCACCAAACGCTCCAGTGAGCGACCGAGCCGGATTTGCACCAGTTATGCTTGATGATGCTGTTGTCGAGGCCCAGCGTGAGCGAATGTAGCACGAGGAGGTTGCTAGGCGCGAGCGCAATGCGGTCAATGCTACGGCAGCCGGCGAGGCGAGGCTTGCGCTCACGCGCATTCGACCTGTTGGACGTCCTCTTCAACAGACACGTTTCAGTAGCAACCACCCAAACACTGTATTGGCCCGGCCGGTTGGTTGTTAGGTCGTTGCCACTGGCACTGAACTGTACGATCGGTCCAGAATTTGCTAGGGCGTTTCCAAAGTGCGAAAATGGTGAGAGACCATGAGCCTAAGGGTTCCTGGTGGAGGGAGACTGACTGGAAGCTGCAGTTTGAAAAGCCCCGAAACTTTGGAAGGGGCCCCGAAATTTGTATCATGCCCGCAAAATCTGGTCCGGCCTTCCCCGAAATTCAAAGAGCACGTACAAATTTCAGAAAGTATTTTGACCCCTCCCCGAACAAAGCGATCACGAACTATAAGTAGCACTACGGTACTGCAAGCGACACGCTTTCGAAAGGCGACTGATGTGGATAGAGATGGTGCAGGACTCTAGGTCCCCATTTCGCTTGTTTGACCAGTAACTCGCCCTATCCATCTTCACACAACCCCCAACCGCCAACCGCAACGGTAACCAGCAGAACGGATATCGCTGCAAGCTAACCTCTTTGGCCATTCGGCGCAGCAGTGGCAGATAGATGACCATTAAGAAGGCCAGGAAGACGCCCAGCAGCAGTAGAAAAAGTACCACGTGGAGAACGACAACAGCTGCGAGAAGGGTTGGGAGATGGGGTGGAAAGGTAAGGCGCCAAAACATGAAAGTATATGCAATAAGCTTGAGCTACGATCACGACGACAACTTGCGGTTGTATGTAAGGAGGTATCGGCGCATGCATCGGATGCGGACAAAGAGCTTGGGGTTTTTGTTTCGGCCTTGGAGAAGTGGAAGGCCATCAGCAGCAGGGGCCAGTACATGATGAACCGCTAACTAGCGTGCAGCATCAACAGCAGGGGCTGCAACCAACCGCAGAGGTTGCGTTTGGCGGTCCCGGTTCTTTGCTGGTATGCATCATTCGTTTTGTAATATGGAGAGTCGTGTAGCGTTATCTTTCAACGTGATGCAAAACGAACGACGCCGAACAAACTCTATTCGATCAGTGCTTGAGTAGGGGTTAACTAGCCTGTGTTTGCTTTGCAAGCCCTTGGAAACAGCAGTCGCCCGTGCATTCGGGCTTCCTGTCAAAGTGTCTAAGTGCGCGCCGCTTCCTGGCCCGGAGCCGGTAAGAGATACTCTCTGGAGAGATTGTGGTGCGTGCGTGTTGCGACATTCCCCCAACCCGGCATTTGTACGAACTAAACTGTAACTCATCGGGGAGGGTCTGGGGGGCCTCCGCCCCACCCCCAGCGCCTTGCAGATTAGGACTAATTTTATTCCCGCGACTAAAGACCTATTCCTCCGTTCGGACTGGAAAATTGATGGTCAAAACTGAAAACAAAAACACTGAGGTGGATCGGGGAGAGTTATCCCTCTATGTTTTGGGCGAGGAAAGGGATACCCTTCACTACTGCATCCCTTTTACTCTCGGCACTCTCGACGCGTACGGCGCCAGCACCGCAATGCGGCGTCGAAATCGTTATGAAAAACTAGGCCAGGCAGCCAGGCCAGCAGCCATGCATGACCCCACCCAGCAGGCCGCGATCCCTAGATGGGTCCCTGGCCAGTAGCGATATCGCTAGGGCCCTTGACACCTAGACAGAAGTAACAGCTGTCGTACATCAACAGGGCTTCCCTGATGGCCTGCATGGCTAGGCTAGCAGATAAAGGGGCAGGAATTCCCAGCAATTCAAGGGTGGGCCGTTCATTGCCCTTACCGTTAAAGACTTTCCGTATGTCCTCCACGTGTTGTACCACGATCCGCTGGTTACCGTCGAACAGATCCTGCAGTACGGGTAGATGCGAAGTCGTGTATAGAAGATATGTGCAGGGATATATTTATGAAACTGTGTTTCAACAATTGGTTAATATAATATCGGCCAGCCGCAAATAGAGGTATTATTTGGCAACTACCCAGCGCTCGGCAGCTAGCTCCTATCCTCCTTGCATCCCGTCCAATGGGTCTCTCTGGAAACTCCGATGGGGCTCATGACCTTCCCTTCTACCATACTTGTACATAGTCCACGCAGATACAGCAGTACGAGCAAAGATGTAATGTACGGCACGATATATATGAGCAACATGGGAACGAAGCTGCCTGAAGTGCAATCGAAATGCAAGTCGCTTTGGGAGCTGACGTTTTTCCATTGCTAGCAGCAATAGCAGCATTAGCAGCATTAGCAGCATTAGCAGCAATAGCAGCATTAGCAGCAATAGCAGCATTAGCAGCAATAGCAGCAATAGCAGCAGGAGCAGGAGAGCAGGAGAGGAAGAGAGCAGGAGAGCAGGAGAGCAGGAGAGCAGGAGCAGGAGCAGCTTGCATGCAAACACGGATAACGATAATAAGGCCCGCCAATAAACCTGCAGTGGGAACTCACCACAGTGCCGACCCTGTAGATGAACTCCCATTGTGAGCTCTTCAGATCTGGTTTGCTGGCGTTGGTTACCAGGGCCGCTTCCGCATAGTCAGCTAGACCCTTTACCTCCAGCAGCAGCTGAGTCAGCATGCCATCCACACCAGACCGAACAATCTGAATGAGGCAGAATGTGGATGGGACGAAGCAAGTAGGTTCATTATCTTTGGTGTTATATCATTTCTTGTTGTCGGCCCTGGAAGAGGATTGTTAAGAGACGGCTTGCCGCTCGTGTAGGCAGGAGTTGAACACGGCACATGGCACACTTGTCTGTATTGCGGAAGCGGCGAGGGCGGGCTCATGACGCAGGCCTTCGTGCGAACGCACAAGATTACGGAAGTCCGTAGTATCGGAAATCCCAAACTCTACCGAATGCAAGAGCACAATGCCCGCGCATTTTTGATCATACGGAGGTACACATCATACGTACACATACGTCTTGTGCAGTATGCATGGCTGCCTTTCCTTGACAATGATTCAGTAACTCATGCGGTACTGCATCCGTACAAAATTCGGATGCATCCGTACCTGGTAGAAACGGTCGGTCAGTGGTGGACACGGCAGATGCTCCGGCAGCCGAAGACACTGGTTGTCCGCGTAAAAGATCTGAAACATGGCGGAGGTCTCCCTGATTGTCCCCCGGCTGCGCACATGAGGGAACTGCTCCACTCCGCGCCCTGTTCGTGTGTGCATGTGTATGCACATACATATGCACATGTGCCCATGAGTATGTGCGTGTGTGTGTTGCACCTTGAGTTGCGTTACTCTCCGAAGGTGTAAGGGGGCAATACGGTTATGCACGTAGTACAAATGCACATACATACACACATACATACGCGCATAGATGCACATGTGTGCAATCAAGGATACGAATGGGCGGATGATGAACAGTTCACACGATAGTCATGCGGGCCCCAAACCCAAACAAACAACTTAAATTATCTCCTTCCACCCCACTCCCCCCCAACCCCAACTCATCTCCATCCCCATACACCCCATCCAACGATGCCAATGCAGTCTTCCAAGATTGTCATGTATCCTGTCCACATGCGACCGGCAGCCAGGTACAGAACGTGCAAGGTAACCCACCCAGAGCTGTCCAGGCATATGCGCCCATCCGCAGCGTATAGTAGGCGTCCCGTAGCGCAATGGCGGCGCCTTTCAGGTCCTGGACTCTGCGGGGTACCAGCACCATGTCCTCCTCAGCTACCAGCTCCTACAACGCAATGACAAGTGTGGAAAAAGGGCTGCGTTTCGACGCGGGTTATGCTCTCTCCTAGCGTGCAGACAGCCATAGCCATACAAAGATTCACACAGGAATTTCGTACGCAGAAAGATAACCCAATATGCATTCCTTTGGATGCCGGTGGTGGGTGCTGAACCTGAGCGATCCACTGAGAAGTCGGCTAGGGGAAGGCAGGGTTTCGCCGGATAGCGGCCACGGGTGAAGACATGGCCCCCTGTCCCACACATCATACATACATACATACGCACGCACCTGTGCATAAAACACAGTCCGGTATGTGCGCTCAGTGTGGTGATCGGCCACACCCTGGAATGCGACCATGTCATTGACGCCCAGCAAGATGGAGTACGATACGCTGTAGAAGAGGATGATCTGTGGACGGATGCATGGCCGGGGAAGTCACGAACAGACACAAAGATAGACAGACAGGCAGACCGGCAGAGACAGACAGATAGACGCTAGGGACGGTGAGGAAATAATGCAGAAGCTAATTATAGCAGGTGACGGTCGACGGACCAGCAAACACTCGGGGCCGGTCATTACTCCCAACCCGCACCTACGAACATCGAGCAATGCGTGCGAGCAAGCAAGGGGCCGTCGAGCATGTCTCTTCTCGGTGCGCGCATGCATAGAAAAAAAGGCACCATTGGCGCCTGTCCCATCGAACATGTGTGTAATACGGTTGGACAAAGCGAGCCGTGGCTCTATCTTTAACTTAGTAGTAAAAAGAAAACCGAATGTTTCATACGCACCGGTATGATGTGATAAATCGTAGAATTGACAATGTGTTCAAGTGGCCCAGAAGCCCTCCCACTCTGTAACAATTCATACGCACCAGTAAGGAGTAACAGCCGATGAAAATTAGGGTCGCCTGAGGGATTCGACTGTTGCGCTCCAGGGTACGGCGCGCGGGCCCGTCATGGGCATCCGGCGACGGCACCGGCGACGGCAGAGGGCTGACGACATTGGCGCGCCTGCGACGGTAGTCCGGCATGTAGCGGAAGAAGATTTACCTACTTGCGCCTTCCTGGTGTGGGTGACTTAACAAAAGCAAAATTTCTGATTCTTTAGTAAGGGTATGTTGTAGGACGTTCTGCAAAACGCTCCCTAGAGTTCTCTTGGATGGTTTTATAACAACTCAATTTTAAGTTATTTTTTTGTCGTTTTAAAGGATAGTGTGCCATAGCGAAACATGTCGAGTGAACAGAGTTTGTTAATTTTATAGTACTACCCAATATTGCTGTATTACTTTGAACGAATCGGATTACCTATCTGTACATTACTTATGAGCGCACGTGGATTTTTCGGCTTCCGGTTAAGTTCAAATATAACATTTACAGCGAAAGCTAAAAAGCTAAAGAATTGTTTTCACATTATACTGCTGAAGAGAACATCACGCACGGCACTGTGAAAAGGGAACGGAACACACCTTCAGCAACGCGTGTGAGTGTATGTGTGCTTTAACTAATGCTAGCTGGAGAAGGTGACGAAAGGCGACAGTGCCGACAGTGCGACTCAGCCAAAGAACTCATCATCCCGTGCTTTGTGCCTCCCAATCTGCTCACCAGAACTTTCCAAAGACGCGCCCAAACCAGCTCTGCCTCGGCCGGTGGTCGCTGCTTTCGCGGCCGCTGGCCATTGCCGAAAGCGAATAGCGATTGCTTAGGCCGCCCATCCCAGGCGATGGCAGGGGCTGGTGATAGCCAGGAGAAGGAGGACACCCGACGCCGCCACCACCACCACCGCCACCGCGCATGCGGTTGCTAACGGTTCTGAGAAGCAGCCCTCGCGTAGAGTCATCGTTCTGGCGAAAGGCAAATTTCGAATTTCCGCCAGGGCCGACAGATCCACGCCGCTGCCTGCTGCGCAAACCTGCCCCACTGCCGTACGGCTTTCCCAAAGGGTCGCTTGCCGTAGTGCCGCGGCCGCCGCCGCCGCCGCCGCCGCCGCCGCCTCGCTCAGGACTGCCGTGGTCCTGGCCGTTGGCGCCGCCGCCAACGCCGCTTTCATCAAAAAATGCCTTTCGCTTCTGCGCCGAGGGGTGGCCCTCGTCTGTGTTATCCTGTGGACAGCACGTTATTAGGGAAATAGTTATTTAGAAGCGGAAGCTGTCGGTTTATTCGTCCACGTTCCTATACTGTAGGCATGTGTACCTAGCTGCTGGAGGCATGGCGTCCCTGTTATTGTAATCCGGAGGCATGGCTGGTCCTACTTCCATGCTTCGTGTGTAAGCAAGCACGTCGCAGTATTTCTGTTGTACAACAATCTGTCGTATGCCGACCTAGTGTACAACAATCTGTCGTACAACATGTGCGACAGGCAGAGCAAAGATAGAGAAAACCCACGTTCTCTCGTCGTCAAACGCTATTTATTTATTGGGGTCAGCCAATAAACAAGCACGGCTGGCAGTGCACCATGTATACGAACTGTGCAAGTGCATCAGCAGAGCTTAATTGCAAGGTACATCGTTCATGCAAGGAATTGTGTTTTTCGAAGCCCCTAGCCGAGTTACTGCATGCTATATGCATTAGGAAATGCTATAGGAAATGCTATAGGAAATTAGGACATTCCTACCGGGGAAGAGCCCCTTACGTGGCATAGTGCTCGTCCCGGCCCTACTTCGTGCAATGTGTGTGGTTGTTACAGTACAGTGGGCTCCATGTGCACAATGTGCATCATCATCCGGCGGTCGGGAGGATTTTGCCGTACCAGGTTTTGGCTGGCTTCCTCGTCCTCCTCGTCATCCGATTCATCATCGTCCAGCAAATGAGTTGTCTGCGAAGCTAAGGCGCGCGTCAGGCCTGCGCAGCCCGCCCGCAAGCGATCGAATGGACACGGCATGCACGGTAAAGTGGCAGGAGTGGTATTATATCAATATTCGCATGAATTGATGGGAGCAGACATGCGTGAAAGGCAAACGTTTTTTTCCTATCGTCTGTAAAACAATCATCGCCGATCGATCGCGATCCATAAACGATCTGATATTAGGTAGGGAACGTCCATTCTACCATGCCGGGGTGTGATCTATATATAGATGATCAAAAATTTAACGGACTATAACTTTGTCTCGAACGAAACGGCGCAAGGGGGCCGGAGCCCCTAGGATTGACATCCATATATCGGCACGTATACACCGCATGTCCATGTCCGGCACCACCACCAGCAGTATCTATCTATCTATCTATCTATCTATCTATCTATCTATCTATCTATCTATCTATCTATCTATCTATCTATCTATCTATCTATCTATCTATCTATCTATCTATCTATCTATCTATCTATCTATCTAATGTATATACATATTTACATATATGCCCAGTGTATGTACTAGCAGAACCTAAGTAGAACTCAAAGTCTTAACACCAACAATTCTTGACATTGATTCTCGGCATTGGTGACCAAGCAAGCGCCAGCTTACCAACCGGGATCTTCAGGAACGTCTCATACAGTTGATACCGCTGGTCGCATGCTGAACGTAATATATGCACCAAAATGCTGCGACGGACAGCATAAAAGATGGGTCAGTTGGGCAACAGGAGTTCGTGCATGTATGCGTGCCTAGGCAAGATGGCGGTTGTGTGGGCATTGTTACGCGACTGGTTGTGTGGCCGTTGAGCGGGAATGGGTTGAGCAGCAGCAGCAGCAGCAGCAGCAGCAGCCACGTTAACCATTAACCTTTTTCGACTCCCGTTACACAGTACTTGCAGCAGCAACCACCTTGGCAACTCCCCCCTCCCTTTAAACTACTTACAATCCGCTCGTATCGTCAATCCTACACCATAACGTAATTACCAAAACTTCACTTATCACGATCTGGTGGATCTTTCCTAAAACATCCCTCGTATCCCTTAAGACTCTGAAGTCTGAGCTTCACCGTCACACCTTCCTGTAACGACTATACCCCCTATCCCCACCTTATTCCAAACATCCCTTCACATTCTGACATTACGTAATAACTAACTAACTCTGTAACAAACTCAACCGTCTCACTGCTATTCTCTTACGAAAGCCTCGGCGATACCCTTTTTTTCTTTTTTCACTTTTTCTTAACTACCATATCACCTTTCCAACAACTCGCCAACGGCAAAAGCCAGCAACACAATAACTCCCAATCCACTATATGCGCCAGGCATACAGACTATCTCCCCTCAACCCAACACAA